GCCCACTCTATGTTGCCGGGCCCGATGGCAAAGTGTAATGCCCTGGCGGACCAGGCAGCTCGGGCTGTGGCCCTGGTTGCTGCTGATCCTGTAGAATTGGCAAAAGACTTTCATAGATTGTATCATGTACCCGCAAATACCCTTAGGAGAAGATATAATTTGCCCAGGCATGTGGCAAGAGATATTGTTAAAGCCTGTAAATCTTGTGTTACCTTTCTTCATCCTCCCCATGTGGAGGTAAACCCCAGGGGGTTGAGACCAAACGCCCTATGGCAAATGGATGTTACTCATCTGACAGAATTTGGTAAGTTGAAATATTTACATGTGTCTGTGGACACCTTTTCTGGTGTCATTCATGCCACACCTTTGGCAGGAGAAAAGGTGTCTCACGTCAAAATACACTGCTTAGAAGCTTGGGCAGCTTGGGGAAAGCCCCTTAGACTTAAGACGGATAATGGCCCTGCTTATACTTCCCATGGTTTTTGCGCCTTTTGCGCACAAATGCAAGTTGCCCACACCACCGGATTGCCCTACAATCCTCAAGGACAAGGTATAGTGGAAAGAGCTAATAGAAGCATAAAAGAAATGCTTCAAAAACAAAAAGGGGGAATTGCTGAGTCAGCGTCCCCCAGGGAAAGACTTTCTCTTGCGCTCTTTACCCTTAATTTTTTAATTCTAAATGACAACGATCAGTCTGCCGCAGATCGGCATATGACAAGAGACCCCATGGATACTAAAGACATGGTTATGTGGAAGGATGTTATTAATAATAAATGGTATGGACCGGATCCGGTAATAACGAGATCCAGGGGAGCTGTTTGTGTTTTTCCACAGAGTCAAGAAGTACCTCACTGGGTGCCAACGAGACTGACCAGGCTGGTGGAGACTGCAGAAGAGCCCCCTCTTGAAAAAGAAGACCCGCAAAATGAAGATGCCATCCACTCGTCTCCTGATGCAGCTGATCTTCCTGCTGTTAGCAGCAGTGCTAATAGCAACCCCTGTGATAGCTAAACCTATGCTGTGGGCTGTTACCAGGGCGTGGCCAGTTCCTATGCCCCTGCATGCAGACTCCCTTTTTTAAGATCTGGGGAGTGGGGAAAGGAGATTGAAGATCTAGTTCGGGGACAGCTTTTAAAGATCACCCTGTTGAATGCTACAATTTACTGACTGGGTTGCCTCTGCAGTGTCCTTTTTCAAAGAGTGGGTGGGAGTCGGAATGTTTTTAGCCTGCTGCCTGGGAGGATGCGTGGTCTGCCTATGGTTGGTCTGTCGCCTTCGAGCCCAAACCAGAAGGGACAAGGTTGTTATCTCGCAAGCATTAGCCGCCTTGGAGAGTGGATCCTCACCCCAGATCTGGCTGTCGGCCCTGAGAGGCAGTTAAGCCTTACCATTCTGCATAGCCTTAGCACCCCGAGGGATCAGGGGATCCCATTGCACCGGGACAGGTATGCAACTTGCAATTTGGGACAGGGTGCAAGGCAAGTGCACTGCACTTGAGGAGGACCATCTCCTC